GGGACACAGGAAAGGAGGGAGGAAGAAAAGGATGGAGGGAAGTTAATCAGCAATGTTATATTAAGAACCTGGATACACTAGGCTTCCACAGCCAGCTCTGTGGACAAATCAGAATCTCTAAAAACATGCCATCATAAATCACCTAAATAAACACCTAGACTTTCCCTTATTATATCTCCCCACCACTTGAATTCCTCTGGGATGCCAGGCACTCTGGTAAGCATTTTATTTACATTTCTCATTGACTCCTCATAGCAACTCTGTAAGGTGGTATTATGCCTACTTTTGATGAGAAAGCTGAAAGCTAACACTCAAAATGATTTTAAGTATTCTTTCTTAGAATGAAGCAGAATGGAAAATTAAACACAAAAATACCAACCACATAAACCTCCAGCATAACTTGAACATGATCTATCTGCAAAAGACTTAGATAAAAAGCAAGAGTCAGCATGATTCTCCCTAAAGGGCCAAATAATAGGAAATATTTTGAGAGGACCTTCAAGATGGCGGAGGAGTAAGACATTGAGATCACCTTCCTCCTCAAAAATACATCAGAAATACATCTACATGTGGAACAACTCCTACAGAACACCTACTGAACGCTGGCAGAAGACCTCAGACCTCCCAAAAGGCAAGAAACTCCCCATGTACCTGGGCAGAGCAAAAGTAGAAAGAAAAAACAGACAAAAGAATAGGGACGGGACCTGCACCAGTGGGAGGGAGCTGTGAAGGAGGAAAGGTTTCCACACACTAGGAAGCCCCTTCACGGGCAGAGACTGCGGGTGGCGGAGGGGGGAGTTTCGGAGCCGCAGAGAACACAGTAACAGGGGTGCCGAGGGCAAAGCGGGGAGATTCCCGCACAGAGGAGCGGTGCCGACCAGCACTCACCAGCCCAAGAGGCTTGTCTCTCACCCACCAGGGCAGGCGGCGGCTGGGAGCTGAGGCTCCGGCTTTGGAGGTCGGATCGCAGGGAGAAGACTGGGGTTGGCTGCGTGAACACAGCCTGAAGGGGGCTACTGAGCCACAGCTAGCCGGGAGGGAGTCGGGGAAAAAGTCTGGACCTGCCAGAGAGGCAAGAGACCATTGTTTCGGGATGCCGAGGAGAGGGGAATCAGAGCACCGCCTAAACGAGCTCCAGAGACAGGCGCGAGCCGCGGCTATCAGTGAGGACCGCAGAGATGGGCATGAGACGCTAAATCAGCTGCTGCTGCCATCAAGAACCCTGTGTGCGAGCGCAGGTCACTATCCACACCTCCTCTCCCGGGAGCCCATGCAGCCCGCCACTGCCAGGGTCCCGTGACCCAGGGACAACTTCCCCGGGAGAATACACGGCACACCTCAGGCTGGTGCAATGTCACGCCAGCTTTTGCCGCCGCTGCAGGCTCGTCCCGCATTCTGTACCCCTTCCTCCCCTAGACCTGAGTGAGCCAAAGCCCTCTAATCAGCTGCTACTTTAACCCGGTCCTATCTGGGCAGGAACAGACGTCCCTCAGGTGACCTACAGGCAGAGGCGGGTCCAAATCCAAAGCTGAACCCCAGGAGCTGTGCGAACAAAGAACAGAAAGGGAAATCTCTCCCAGCAGCCTCAGAAGCAACGGATTAAATCTCCACAATCAACTTGATGTACACTGCATCTGTGGAAAACCTGAATAGACAACGAATCATCCCAAAATTAAGGCAGTGGACTTTGGGAGCAACTGTAGACTTGGGGTTTGCTGTATGTGACCGACTAGTTTCTGATTTATATGGTTATCCTAGTTTAGTTTTTAGCACTTGTTATCACTCGTAGATTTGTTTATTGGTTTGGTTGCTCTCTTCTTTTTTCTTTTTAACTACTTTTTTAAATTGTTTTATTTTAATAATATTTTTTTATTTTTTAATATTTTTATTTTAATAACTTTATTTTCTTTTTCTTTCTTTCTTTTATTTCTCCCTTTTCTTCTGAGCTGTGTGGCTGACAGGGTCTTGGTGCTCCGGCCAGGGGTCAGGCCTGAGCCTTGGAGGTGAGAGAGCCGAGTTCAGGACACTGGACCACCAGAGACCTCCTGGCCCCATGTAATTATCAATCGGTGACAGCTCTCCCAGAGATCTCCGTCTCAACACTAAGACCCAGCTCCACTCAATGACCAGCTAGCTACAGTGCTGGACACCCCATGCCAAACAACTAGCAAGATAGGAACACAACCCCACCCATTAGCAGAGAGGCTGCCTAAAATCATAATAAGATCACAGACACCCCAAAA